GACAGACTGTTCAAATGCTGTGACATGTATTAATACCTTTCCCAGCAGGCCCCTGCCATCTGGAAATTCTCTTAGCGGGAAACAAAGCCTTTTTATATTTACAGATAAAGCTAAAAAAAAGCAGAGACTTGGAGGAGAAGTAACTTTTGACTTCCCCTTTTCTATCATTTGCCCACACTTCTGGTGCAAAACCTCCTTGGCATCTTCACCTCCCTCTCCCCCCATATCCAGACACCAAATCCTGCCAGTTCTTCCTTTGATGTACTTTTTCACAGTCTAACTTGTTTTCCATTCATTCTGCTAATATCTCCCATTCAGGTCTTTATTGTTTCACAGCTGTGTCATTGAAATGAGCTTCAAACAGAACTTCTGCCTTCATTCTCAGTGATTTACAGTGACTTAAAGTATAGTTCTAGCTTTATAATCTGGAAATATAAAAATTTCACGTATGATCTCTAGCACTTTCCTCTTTTTAAAAAATATTTGTTAGTTTGTTTATTTTGAGAGAGAGAGAGAGAGAGTGCACACATGCACGCACACATGTCGGGGGTGCAGAGGGAGAGGGAGAAAGAAAATCCCAAGCGGTGTCCTTGCTGTCAGCACAGAGCCCCTACATGGGGCTGGATCCCACAAACTATGAGGTCATAAGACCTGAGCCAAAATCAAGATTTGGAGTCTTGGGGCTCCAGGGTGGCTCAGTCAATTAAGCGTCTGATTTGGTTCAGGTCATGATCTCATGGCTCATGGGTTTGAGCCCTGCATGGAGCTCTGTGCTCTGTGGGGAGCCTGGAGCCTGCTTCAGATTCTGTGTCTCCCTCTTTCTCTGCCCTTCCCCCACTCTCACTCTGTCTCTCTGTCTCTCTCTCTCAAAAATAAACATTAAAAATTTTTTAAAAAAAGAGTTGGAATCTTAACGTATTGAAACACCCAGACACTCCTCTAGCCCTTTCTTCTATATTTACCCAGTGCTGTGTGAATCCTCTGCTTTGGCTAAAGTGGTCTAATTGATATTTCTGAAAGGATCTGCTACCTCAAATTTAAATAGTATATTGAATGAAAATCACTTGGCAAAAACTTAAACATTACAGAAGTATGAATTATTCTGTCTTGTAACTAACCCTGATCAATCTGTTGTTAATCTTTAATGGTTTAATGATTCTCTCCTTACTCATATGCTCTGCCCTTACTGTGTCAGAACATTCTTCCTTTTATCTAGTTTCTTGGATAACACATGGAAGCCATAAACCCCCATCTTTCCCAAGGTTCTCCACTTCCTCAATCAACCCAGGCTACCAGCATCCAGCACTCCAGACGCAAATTTTATCCCAGGCCCTCACTTAACAAGAAGCGATCAGAATGTCCTTGGTATCTCCTAAAGTATATCTGTCTGCCTTTTCGTTACCACCCACAATCCATGTGCCCACAGCTCAATCCCGGAGGCTTTACACAGCTTTCCCTGCTTAATCTTTCCTACCCACTCCCCTCTCTCAGTGATCTCTGTCCCCTGAATTCATACAGAGCCAAAGTCTTGTGACTTGTGCCGTTTAGACGATACTAATACTCTCCCATTAATGTTTACTTAGCCTTAGTAGCTTGTTACAGACAAGTAGGTTGAAAACACTGTCGAGGTGACAAAAGCATCTTACATTAATTTGCAGGCCCATATTTCAACTTTATTTACTGGAGCCTGACACGTGGTGGCTGCTAATTTGTTATCCAGGCTTGTTAGTCACACTGGAAGTGAATGATAACAATTTTCTTTCTCTGTGTGAGTGATGATAGACACTCAGGCAGGCCTGTAGAAAACAGAAAGCCATCGTCCCCCTTGGAAGAAGAGATGCCAGAGCAGAGACCAAGGGCCAAAAAGAATCTTTAAAAGACAAGTATTCCAAATGCATCAATTGACTCAAGGTCAGGGACACATTTATGAAACAGTTTTCATACGAGAAATTTCAGACTGTTTTCCTTCTCTCAATTCCTCTGTCTTTACTTTTCATTATTGGGTGAATATGTCCATATACATATTTGCCTGAACAAGACTTCTGGCATCTTCAGAGGTTCACTCTTCTGTGGCCATAATATGCCTGACCTTTGCTTTCCCCTTACAGTGTACCTGGGTTCACCTTGCCCTCCAGCCATCATTCTGACCCCAGAAACCAGTGGAATTAACTAAAACGTGGGAAGTAAGAGGCATCACCGACTGATGATTCCACTAGGGGAAAGGAGAGCATAAAAATAATTTTAACATAGGTCTTATATGCAGAACCCCACTATCAAACGAGACCCAGAGAGGAAGGAAAATGCTTCTCCACTTTTAACTGCCTGACAAACCCCGGAACAATGAGTTGCTTTATTTGAAACCAGGGGAGGCCATTTTCCTCTAGCTGGAGGTGGTGGGGAAGACAGAGGAGGGGGGTCAGACTGTCTACTGCTTTAAAAAGGCAGGATGGGGCCTTGTTGATTTCACAGGGGCTCCATTTTTCTGCTGCATGCCCTCAACCCTGTCCATATTAATTAGACAGATGGCTAAGTCCTAACTGTACCTGTCACTCAGGGAAAATTCATAGATTTGTGCCTAAACGATGATATGTGACCTCCTTTTCTCAAAGATAGGATTTTTTTCAAAAAAGAAATCACTCCTTTAGAATGAGTTTCAGTGCTAAAAACTGAATTTATTTTCCTAAGTGTCATATCCCTGATTTGTATAGCAGAATCTTTTCCTAATAACTCTATTTTTAACTTCAATTTTCAAATAACTCAAATACAAGTAGACAGTAATTCTGATTAAAATAAAGATGCATGTGTTACTGATATCAGTTTATTGTAGCATTACCATTAATAAAGTCTTTTATTGTCACAGAGAAGAGTGAAGGCCAATTTTAATGCATATATACTTTATCTTAACACAAATACTAAAAGAAATAAAAAGCATCAGGGGCTGTTTACTGCTATGCACTTATTCCCCAAATTTCTCTATTGCCTTGGCAATTATACTGCAATTGGATGCTCCTTCCCCATTTTCATGTAATTCTTCCAAAGCCGGAGGAATTCATGTCCAGAAACCATTGTCATATAGTGCTGTAAAAGACACAAGTAAATGGAAGACTCAACACTTCTTATGTAATACTTGCTGGCCAAGGCATAATTTGGATAAGCAAATTTTGAGCTTGTATTATTTTATCTGTATAATCTGTTGAAAAATTAAGGAAGACTTACAGAAAAGTGCATTTTTTTCCATACAGCTGTACTGGAATTACTGTGAGCAAAAATGAAACTGAATTATCAAGTGAATAATTTTTGGGCTGAAGAAATCTACCTTATTTTCTCCACCTTAGCCCCTTATCACCATTACATATGCATAAACATACCATCCACTGAGCGTTCAGAGTTCTTATACTTTCTCTGTCTTAATGGGTTATGATGCTCACTCTCAGTTTCAGTTCGAGAAAAAGATATCAAACAGAGGCTTTGTTCAGTTGACAAACAATAAAATGGCTTCAGTGATAGAACTGTCTTTTCACCTTAATCTTATAAACACAAGTGAACTTTCCATTGGCAGCTTTTGCAACACTGTTCTCAAAAGAGCAGACACAATCATTCAAAAGGTACAATTGAAGGGAGAGGGCAGTAAAAACCAATAACTTTGTGCAATTACAGTAAAACCCAACCGTTATTCATCAGAAAATTAGAGGCTACATCTAACAAATCTCTTTATCCCAGTCCTGTGGATGGAAATTTACATTCAAACGGAGCACCAAAATAACTTCCCTTCTGGGGGCAGTAAAGATTATAACTAGTTTCTCAGCAGGAATGGCAAGGCCAAAAGTAACTTTTGTGGGGGAGGAAGCTTGGAGTGCTCCACATATTCAAATGGCAAGAAACCGGTTTGTCCTAGACCTGTGGCTCACATCAGGCCAAGGAGAGAAAATAACCCTGTACAAGATTCTCGGGGACCCCTAAGGGAGAGCACCCCTAACTAGTTAACTAGTCTTTGGGGTCCCATTATTTAAAGTAACCGTCTGTGAGGTTACAGACAGTACTAAACCTATCAGGACCCATTGGATTGGAAGCCCGGAATTTCTATTTGGAAAGCAAAGTCCCAGTAGCTACAAGTCCTGGACGTCCTGCAGAACAAATCCCAGGTAGCGTTAGGATGCGCTAAACAGAACTATACTATCCAACAGGACAAGGGGTGAGTTAGGCGGAAAGAGTCTGCACTAGGGATCAAACTACCCTTTCAGGTTTCACGGGGAGCGTCATCTGCAGCCTGGACCCCGGCGCACTGACGTTCCTTTCCTCTGAAAAGCCAGAGACCACCAGTCCTGGTGTCTCTTTTCCCGCCTGACCTAGCTCCCTCTGCTTTCTCAAACCCTGTTGTTTATCCGCGCCTCTGCGCGTCCCGCGGCATAGGCAGGAGAATGGCTCTGTTTCGAGTTACTTCTCCGCGCGCGCGCGCCAAGTGCAAAGCAGACAGCAGCTGGCTGGGTAGGCGTGCGAACCTTTAGGCCGTTGGGCGTCCCCAGCACGCACACCTTGGCTGGCCGGCATAGCCTGCAGTAGGTAAGTGGCGAGGCCAGAATCTGCAGACTGGCCGTAAGCTTATACAGAGTCCGTTCTCCCTTCCCACTGATGGTCAGTTTCTTTGGCGAGTGCTGACACCAAGGCAAGCACGGATAAAATCGTCCCTCACTCCCGCCTCGCTCTCCCCCACTGGCCCAGCCTTACTTGTACTTACAAGTCCACTCTAAGAGACAGCTTCTGGCCACTGGTTTGGAATCCAAGAAAACAGAGCATGGGGCTGTGCGCAAGAGTTATTCAGCGAGTCTACACAGGGAAGCGGGGGTTCCCAGGGACACCACAGGCACTGGGAAAAACAGACCCTCCAGCCTTTCCCTCCTAGCAAACCCACGCCTAGGGACTGGCGAGGGGTGTACAGGGAAGCTCAAAAGAAGGATGAAACTGGGGGGGGGGGGGAGTGAGCTTCTAAGGTAGGAGTGTGGGGCAGGGTTGGGACTAGATGAAGCAAACTTCTGAACCTTCAATTCAAGTTCTAGCAGTGGGGTGATTAGGTGGGAGCTGTTAGTGGGCGCGGCGGCTGAGTGTACAGTTTATTTTTCTGTGTAGATGATTTTTTTTTTTTTTTTTTTGCCTTAAATGGCTGAGGCTTAAACTTCCGCCGCGAAGGTGCGGGGTGCAGAAGAGGGAGGAGGCGACTGCAAGGATCAAAACTGATTCTGAGGCCATAGTGTGAGCCAGGGTCGCTTCTCACAGATCCAGGTAGTTTCCCAGGCCCTCCGGCCTCACCTTTAAGGGCTCTGCCCAAAGCGCACTCCCTCCCAGCAGGGCATTAGGGGGCGGGGGAGGAGGGATGAAGTGTGGAAGCGGCGGACCCAGCAGCTGAGAAAGTCAAGAAACTGTAGCAGACTATCAGAGGTGTTGATTCCAGAGGGCAGAGAGGATGGGGCGAGCCCCACTCGCCAACTACTCGCCCATCATCTTCGGCGGCAGAACTTGCACTTGATGATCTTCTTAAACGCGTTTTGGAAGTCTTTGTTGAAGTAGGCGTAAATGACAGGGTTGAGCAGGGAGTTGGAGTAGCCCAGCCAGTTGATTATGGCGCCCAACAGGGTGGGCATGTGGCAGCTGCTCTCGCAGAAGGGCAGGACCAGGGCAACGATGAAGAAGGGCAGCCAGCAGAGGATGAATGTGCCCATAATGATGCCCAGCGTCTTCACCGTTTTCCTCTCTCGGGCCAGGGCCATCTTGCGCTTGGCCTCGGCGTTGCGCTCATTCTTCTTCGAGAAGGAGGCGGGGGCGCAAGGGATACTCCCGGTCTCGTTGGGCAGAGGCAGGTGCTCTTTGGAGTTGCCCACCCGGTGCACTTCAATCACCTCCAGGGCGGCGCCATCGTCACCCTGCCTCACCGCGCCATTGGTGCACAGAGCCCCCGCTGCCTTGTTCTCCACGCCCCGCCTCCATTCCCTGCTCCCAGTCTCGCCGTTTATGCTTTTCTTGGGCTGCGGGGCTGGCGACACACCAAAGCGGGGGTCCGCTCCCTTCTTCTCCACCTTCTTGACTGTTTTGCGGATGCGGAAGCGCGCAGCTCGGAAGATGCGGCCGTACAGAACCAACATTAGCAGCAAAGGGATGTAGAAAGCCCCAAAGGTGGAATAGATAGTGTAGCCATGATCCTTGCTAATCGTGCACGCGTCGGGGTCCGAGCGGTCTTCGGGGGTGCGCCAGCCCAGCATGGGCGGGATGGAGATAAGGAAGCCAATGAGCCAAGTGAGCGAGATGAGCGCAGCGGCGCGCCGGGGCGTCCTCTTGTTCACGTAGTCGATGGGGTCCGTAATGGCCCAGTACCTGTCCAGCGCAATGGCGCACAGGTGCAGGATGGACGAGGTGCAGCACAGCACGTCCAGGGCAATGAATAGGTCACAGGTGACCTGTCCCAGGGTCCATTTGTTGAGCACCTGGTACAGTGCAGCCATGGGCAGCACCAGCACCGACACCATGAGATCGGTGACAGCCAGAGAGCCGATGAGATAGTTGGCCACATTCTGCAGGGAGCGCTCCAGGGCGATGGCGGCCACCACGCACGCATTGCCCACCACCGCGCAGAAAATGAGAGTGCCCAGCAGCAGAGAGGTGATCACTTGGTAGCTGAAGGTCACGTCGGAGAGGACAGTAGCGTTGCCGCCTGTCCCGAAGGGACCCTCGGACAAGGTGGTGTTGTTGCCCGGTCCAGGGCCGAGCACATCCATGCCTGCGCGCCCAGCGGGGGGGAGGGGGAGGGAAGAAAGCTGCGTTAGGATCCCCCTCGCCCCTCCCCCTGGGGTCTTCCACCCCCCTCTCTCTCTCTCTCTCCAGGGGAGTTTCAGGTGGAGGGGATGTCGGGACTCAAGCAGGAAGTTCTTACTGCTCTGGCGAGGGCATCTCCGAGGAGCAGCTTCTAGGAGCTCCCTGGGCTCCCTTGGTCCAGCAGGCTCAGAGACTCCAGCCGGGAAAGGAGTTCGCCAAAGAACAGCTCCGGGACCTCTGCGCGGCGGAGGGGTGGCTGGAACGTCTGTTTCTCACTGTCCATTTTACTCTGCCGCTGCCCAACTGGCTGCCGGAGCTGGAGTTTCCCCACTAGCAAACCATCTTCAATCTTAGAAGTATCTGGAATAGAGAAACCTCGTCCTCTACGGTCACTCTGTGACTTTCCTCTTCCTGCTTCTCTCCCTTCCTCATTCCCACTCTCTCCTCCAGTCTCCTCTCTTTCTCTTAAGCCTCATCTCCCCCCTTTTCCCGCTTCCTTCTCACACCTCGTTCCGTCTCCCTCTTGCTTCTCACTCCCCTTTCTTTATCCCTCAGTGTCGCTCCGACAGCTCTGACAGTGTCCCTCCCTCCTACGCTAACCTTCCCCTCCTAACACTTCCCCAACCCTGAGTGTCTCTTTCCTCTGGGTCCCCGCCCTCCTCTCCCTCTAGCTAAGCGTCTTTTCATTCTACCCTTTTTTGTCGGCAGAGATTCAGAATTCGTTTCCACCAGATCCGCCGCTGATCACACCAATATTACAACATATAACTCCGCCTCTCACCCAAACGAGAAATGGAGCCACATGGAGCCTGAATAGGGAGGTAGACAGCCCTTGGGTTAGTCTGTAAATTTTTGTTAATTGATGGAAAGAAGACCAAGTCTTTCTTAGCTTATGAGAGAAGCCATCCCGTTCATTTTCTGACAGTCCAGCCTGACTCCCTTGGGGAGGATGTTGCCGGTGGCTTTATTTATTTTTAACCTTGGGGAATTAGTGGGGAGAGGGATTATAAAGGGCATGTCAATGGACAGGTAAATAGCAGCATCTCAAAATGAAGAAAAAACTGAATTCCGTATGCATTCTACACACACACACACACACACACACACACGCCTATCCATCCCCATTACCTTTTTAATTTCGATAAACATTACACCTTTTTTTCACAGCTTGTGAGGAGTAAATTTAGAGAAGAGAATATTCTGCCAATATTCTGTAAATAACGTTGGACATTTGATACGGCCTTTTGCTTCTTTTACCAGAGCCTGCAAACCTCTAGGGAGAACTTGGTGGAACCCCTGGTCGCTGGCCCACAGTTTCTCTTAAGCGCCAAAATTGGCTTCAGCACTTGGGACAGCTCTAGGCAATAAGGGCTTATGTCGCCACCTTCCGGCAAATGCTTTGGAGCGCCGTCTAGAAACCCTTGACTTGCAGAAATTAAGCAAGTATTGAGGCAACCCCATAACTTCAAGAAAGAAACATATGGTTATTTAAAGAAATAATACTAATTTTTGTATATCTTCTGTTTTATTCAAAACTTTCTTTTATTGCCCTCTTTTTCTCTTAATCTTGTATACCAAGCCTATTTTATTTTCTAGCTCTTTTTGAAAGTCCAGAGCATCAATTATTTACAAGTTCTAATCAGGAGCGAACGGGGCATTAATAGAACCTAGGCAATCATCTTCACCTCTGTTCGTTTTGTGCTGACGAGGCCGCACTTTGGAACTCATACGTTCACAGACATTCACCAAGGGGTGGGGTGGGGAATAGTGCTGAATTTTGCAAATGGTGTTGACAACATAGAAAATGAATAGACTATTCTGGGTAGGTTCTAAGTTGTTTCTTTTACCAAGAAAGGCAAATTTAATCCCATTTGAACATAAGTAAAGAATGGACTTCCAGGGGCGCCTGAGTGGCTTAGTCGGTTAAGCGTCCGACTTTCGCTTAGGTCATGATCTCGCGGTTCGTGGGTTCGAGCCCCACGTCGGGCTCTGTGCTGACTGCCAGCTCCGAGCCTGGAGCCTGTTTCGGTCTGTGACTCTCTCTCTCTCTGACCCTCCCCTGCTCACGCTGTCTCTCTCTCTCTCTCCTAGAAATAAATAAAAACATTAAAAAATTAAAAAAAAAAAGAATGGACTTCCTAATATAGGGGAAAAAAACATACAACACAACAATGTCCACTTGTACATCCTGATTGCATGACTGGAGTGAAGGAAAAGTGCAGAATGCAATCCTACAAGCAGATATAATGAGATATGATTCTAGTTAACGTGCACAGATTCATCACAGAGTGCAATAGTCTTAATATTGTGTTTAAATTTGAGCTCTGAATTTTGAGGCTTTGAATTCCCCAAGACCAAACAAAAGAGCAATCACCAAAGCATCAAAAAAAAAAAAATCTAATGGGGCTGATGCATACAGTATAGGGCAAAGTGTGTAGAGATGGACTGTTTTACACATAGTGCTGGGCACAGTTTCCACTCAATCATTTCAGCATGCCACAATAATGAAACTGACATTTATAATGATTCATGGCGTTGAAAAGAAAGAGATAAGTATACACAGCAATACTGACTACAGACTCTGAAGACGTCTTTCTTAAGATTTGTGAAGGTGCTCATTTCCCCTTTTAAAATATCCTCACAGAAACAGAACTAACTAGCTTTAATGAAGTATAGTTGTGGGTATAAAAATTATAATAGGAAAATAATTAAACTCTTGATTCTCCAACGATGAAATTTTGGAAATAGAGTTGATAACATGTAAAGAGTAAAATAAAAGAAATTTAAAATTTAAAAAGTAAATATATGCATATCAAAGATAACCTTGAATAGGAATTATGTCAAATTTAGTGCATATAAATATAGGTCAGTAAATTTGTCAGGCAGCAATATCCATTCATCTGTTGGATCCTAAATGGTTTAATAAGTGAAAGTTTTGTTTTTCCTTTTCAGGAATGCTAAAATGATTTAAATCTGTAATTAATTATATTCATGAACTCTGGCACTTGCTCTTCTGCTATAATATTCAAAAATGCAGCATTTTTGTAAGTTGAGAAAATCACAAATACTTCATATTTTCCATAAGAATAATGTACATAATATTTTAAACATTTCATTTCTTAAAATTTATGACAAGATTGTTAGGCACTCTTATGAGCACTATGAAGAAGATGGAAATGTGTAAGGGATATACAGCACTGAGTATGGGATCAACCTTCAAGTGGCTAATAGTTAATTATATAACTCTTTATTGAACTGATAATACTGTAATATATATTCAAAGCACAATGATGTTGCATTTCTTCATGTTCACACTCTATGGATTCTTCTATATTTAACCCTTAAAGACACAGAATCTCAGATATGCCAGAAGAAAATGGTGCAAACCAAAGATCTGGATAGTTAGATTCTTGTTCTTCAAGGCCTCGGAATTTAGCCTAAAGAAAAGCTAGCCTCAAAGTGAATGTTATTGATGACATCATTTGAAAACAAACAAACAAACAAACCTTGCAGTCATTCTGCTTTTATTTCTTGTTTGAATTTGCTAGACGCAACTTGTCAGTTATGGATCTGGAGTAGAATACATCATCCATCATGTGAAATTTCTCTGAAATAGTTTATGAGAGATAAAGATTTTTAACATTTTCACAGGAAATTTGATACAAGCCCTGCATTTTAATGTCGTTCGTTGACCAGGGACATAAGATTAAAAAATATTAAGTTGATGATATATTTTAAAAAGATATTTGCTATAAACTCTGAATGTCCTATCATTACTGAAGGTTCAGTAATGGCTGAGGGTTCCCAGCAATTGATGTGTATCCATAATCCCCAAGTTATGGCTGACTTCTCTGTTAATGAGGAAATAACTTACATAGTCAAGAGTTGAAAATGTACTTAGGAGACTGAAAATGTGATTTCTAAAAGCTATTAAACAAAGTTTTTATTTTTTATTTTTTTCAAGTGAAAACTAAGATAGATTATTGTTTTAATATAAAAATACCTTTCTGAATTTAGTCATCAAATAGTAAACCAATAAGGCAATTGTAGTTCTTCCACAACTATGGATTATTTTATTGAAATTCACTAGTGAAAAAAAACTTCAAAGAGAAATGTTTGCTTTGATAATTTAGGAAATGTGGTCTTCTTATTATCAGCAAGAATTAACTAGACATTTATAAAACATGTAACTAAAATGCAAGAGAAAAAATTCTCCTGCAAAACTGAGCACGTGTTTTGTGTGTGTCAGTCTTCACCATTTCCCTTCCTCTGATGGTATTATTTCTTCGCTGCTATTTCTATGCATCAGGCACTTCTTAGAGACCCAGAACTGCACATGATTTTCAGTACCAAAACACAAATAGTGGGGCCTCAGCCTGTGCTTCTAGAACCGTTAAGATTGGCCTGGTTCATTGAATACACATGCTAAAACCACAACATATGGAAATGAAAAAAAAAGTAACATATATTCATTAGCTGTGGGACCTTGGGCAAGTTGACTAACCTCTTGTTTTCTCAGTAGTAAAATGAATGTTATTACAAACTCGTGAAGACTAAATGGCCACAATAAATAGCCAATAGTTTAAACAATCAGAGTAGTAACAGGGATGCAAAATAATATTCTCTTTCAACTGATAATTGCTGAACAGTGTGGAGAATAAATAGGTTTAGTGAAAAAGCAAGAGCTCTGTCAGGTGAGAATTTATTGTGAAAACAATTTGCACATGGATGTGACATTCTTCCTATTCCTTAAAGGATTTTGTAAGCTTGCAATTCTTTAGAAAATTCTGAGTTTAAGACAAGTGAATAAAGGTAGATTTGACCTCTGCATTACAAAACTTCTTGACTTAAGTCACAAATTACTGAAGGGGGGGAGCATGTCAACAAAAGTTCAGCAATCACTATTGAACAGGACTCTTCCCTTTTTTCTGGGAGCTTAACCATTTGTTTAAAACCATAAAAT